GGTAGTCCTCAACTTACAACAATTCAATTAGAGACTGTTTGAGGTTACAACAGCAGTGAAAAAAGTGACTTATGACTATTTTTCACACATGACCATTGCAGCATCCCCATGGTCACCTGATTTACATTCGGATGCTCGACAACTGGTTCATATTTATGACGGCGGCAGTATCCCGGGGACATGTGATCACCTTCTGACAAGGTGGGAAATCCAGATTCACTTAATAACCGTGTTACTAATTTAACAACTGTAGTGATTCACTTAACAAATGTAGCAAGAAAAGTCGTAAAATTAACGAATTTCTCACTTAGCAACATAAATTCTGGGCTCAATTGTGGTTGTAAGTCAAGGACTACCTGTATTACTTAAAAAAAAGAAGAAAAAGAATATTGTACTTGCAGGTAGCAGGACAATATCTTATGTTACAATTTCTAGCTATTCTTGAGCGTCACTGTGGGGGGATACCATCATGGGCAGGACAATTATATACTCTAAAGCCAGATAATAGAATTGATCAACTATCTCCAACAAAAATAGAGTTGTTGCTAGTAAAAAGACTAACAAAGATGAAAACAGTATCAATAAAATTCAACAGTCCAGTCTTATATTAATGCCAAGCTCAAAGTATGCCCTTAGGTCTTGCAGCAAGATCTCACATGCCTATATCTAATAATGGCATAAAATATGCAATTCAAATTCAAACATAAAATTAGCTTGTAGTGAAATTCACCATAAAAATTAAATCACTGCTTTGAAGACAAAGGTTCAGTGAATTTGAGGCATGTGCAGTTCCCTAAGCAAAGGCATATGTGTTTTTTCCCAGATTATTTATCTACCTGCAATATTGTTTCCAAGTCAAAGACCTGAGTCTGGGAACATGGAAAACACATCCTGTATTATACACTAAATTGTCACACTGCATCTTCTTTTTCTGCTTTCCATATGTGAAGGAGCAAAAAGAAATATTTTTTTAGCATTTCCAAACTTGGGCTCCCCACAAAAGCTGGAGCTGCAACTCAGAAAACAAGCAGCTAGGGTAGCTAATAGCAGGCTGCCCTAATTCAGTATAATATTGTGTTTATAGTTACAAAGTTTTCTTAAATAAGATGCAGTAACAACTCCGAACAGAGAATACAAATGCCACTGCCTCATCATGTACTGTGGTTTTCTTCATTTACAGTACAGTGCTACCTAGGTACTCATCGTTAATTGGTTCCAGGAGGCAGGATGGGTACCAAAAAATAATAGGTACCAAACAAATTTTCCCGTAAGGAATAATGTGGTGCGTCACAAGGCAGTTGACACCAACAAGTTCTAACTTGTGCATTGAGTACCAAAACGCACTGAATACCAAATTTGATAAGATTCAAAGCAGTTAAGTACCAAGGTACCGCTGTATAACAAGTACAGTTATTCAACTGTTCAACTGATCCTTGTCTACAAGCATTTTACAATTACATGAATTATCAACATATCCACCATATTCTTCTGAACAACCATTGAATTCCTTGTCATTTAATGGAGAGATGCAATTCTCTTTACAAAAATATGGGAGTACTTTGCCTCTGTCTTCTGGCCTTTTTTATACAATTCAATCTATTTTATAGTGCTGGGATTTCCTAATGGTGTCCTATCCAAATACTAGCCAGGCGCAATTCTGCTTTAGCATTTTAGGATAGCCTTCCCTTACCGTTCCGGGATGTTGGCCCAGTGCAGGGGGGAGGGGGATAAGAAGGGATGGTTTTGAGTGAGGGGCAGATGCGCGCACACGTGCACAGGTTCATTTGTGTGACCGGCAGGCACATGCGTCCGCTGCTTGTGCGAGTAGAGCTGTGAGTGCCAGCACCCGCCACTCATGTGAATCAGGCTACACGTGCATGCTGGCACGCCACCCATGAGGCCTGGTTAGAAATATGCCACGGAGTGGCCCACAAATTGGGGACCCCTGTTCTAGGATATAAAAGGTTGGATAAGTGAGCCTATTTTACCAGTTTCATATTCCTTAGAGATGAAAATTGAAATTATGCAATGTAGGGTCTTCCCTATCCTTTTATTATAGAATTTAACCTTGATTCTTATCTTTATAGTATAAGTTATAAAGCCAGGTTATATAGTGGGTTTTTGATGAACTAGCCCAGGGGTAGGCAACCTTGGCTCTTTTATGACTCGTGGACTTCAACTCCCAGAATTCCTGAGCCAGCCATGCTGGCTCAGGAATTCTGGGAGTTGAAGTCCACGAGTCATAAAAGAGCCAACGTTGCCTACCCCTGAACTAGCCTGTACCTTGTCTGTGGGAATTCTCAGTCATTCAGGCCAGAGTTGTCTCAAAGGTGCTTTTTCAAAATGCAAATTGGACCGTTTTTTTCCTTGAGGAAGACTTTGCTTTTGATCCAAGAAGCTTCATCATTTCTGGCAGGATGGTGGAGGTGATGGAAGGATTAGTTCTGAAAGGATGGGGGGGGGTGTGTGTGGAAGGATGATTTGCTAACTACCAGATGACTGTAAAGAAATATCATCCTTCTTACCCCCCCATCTTGTCAGAATTAATCCTTCCATCACCCCCACCATCCTGCCAGAAACAATGAAGCTTCTTGGATCAGAAGTGGTCTTCCTCAAGGAAAAAACAGTCCAGCTGACTTTTGAAAAAGCATCTTTGAGATAACCTGTACCTTCTAAAACAAATTAGAATAGTCTCCCATTTTTCTATTGCATTTAGTTTTTGACTTTACACTTAGTTAGGAAACTATTTTCATTATCTTTTAAAAAGTACCTTTCCTGTTTTTTCAAAGCAGTCAGTCTTTAAAAACTCAGTGGCCACATTGTATAAAACATTGATTTTTAAAAAACTATTCTAAGGTAGGCTGGTGAGTATCACAATTCAGCCTGCAGGTTCCAGATGAACTTTGACATAACTTTATTAATCTAGAAACATTAGTAAAGCAAACTGATGCTCACAGATACATCCAACAGAATGCATAAATCAAAACTGTTACTTGAAATGCTTTCTAAGCTACCTATTTATATCTCCCTAAGTTATGACTGTAGGTGATAGATGCAATATCCAAAATAAAAACTGAAAATATTGATAATATCCAACAATAATGACATCATTTAATGTTATCCCACCATTCTTCCCTAAGGCTCAAAGGCCTGAATCATTTCACTAGAAAAAATAAAAATTGAAACTTTTCAAAACATAGTAATAGTGATTTTTCTCTTCCTAATTGCACTCATAAGCAATATTTCATATGTTGCAAGCAATGGACAAAGAAGAAGTCTTTTCAGCATGAAAAAGTAGATTCCAAGGCCACTTTATAGAACTCTGCCAGACAAACCCTTTATATAAAACATGGAACATAAAATAGGAAGAAACCTTGGAGGTCTTCTAGTCCAACCCACTGCTCAAGCAGGAGACCCTATATCATTTTGGACAAATGGCTGTCCAGTCTCTTCTTGAAAACTTCCAATGATGGAGCATTCACAATTTCTGGAAGTAAGAAGCCCTTCCACTGATTACCTCCAAAAATTGTGGATGCTCCATCACTGGCATTTTCAAGAAGAGACTGGACAGACGTGTTCAGAATGATATGGATAGTCTCAACTTATCACTGGTTGCTTCAAATTGCTTTACTATGGACAAAAGCTACTTACAGTCTAATACAATTTCAAAGTTATGATGGCCAAACACACACATACACACAGAGTCATGTAATAGCTTTTTGAATGCTTGGCAACTGGCTCACATTTAAAGCTGTTTGTAATGAACTGCAGTCATATGACTATGATTTTTTACTTTTTTGCCAATTTCCAGCAAAAAACGTACATTGGGTAAAATGGATTTTCTTAATAATACAGCATTTGCTTAATGACTACGACAAAAAAATGTTGTGCCAGCTCTAGTCATATCATGACTTCCTAAACAACCCCGATTTATGACAATAATTTCGGTCATAATTTCAATAGAAAATTAGAAGTCCAAAACTTGTTTAATGTGAAGATAAATAATTCATTTATGCACACATCAGTGTAAACACATGACAACACAGGAACACAGAGTGCTGTACAGATGCCAAGATCTATGCAGCAGAAAAAAAAATCTGATTGTTTAAAATTCATATATCAAAACAACCTGAAAGAGGTGTTGAGAAACAATATATGGGGAGCAATATAATGTAATACAATATACACACGTACATACATACACACACACAAACACACACACATATATACACAGCACTCTGAGGGGCATGTTGCAGAGATTGTGTAGGCCGATGGAGATACCATACAGAGCACCGGAAGTAGATGGAAGGAGGAACTGAAGTAGATGGAAGGAGGAACCGAAAGCTCTGTCTGAAAAAAAAGAATTAAATATACACAAGGGCAGAGAGAGGACAGAGAGATCGGGATGCAACACACTCTGTGGCTGGATGAATAACCGTTAAGATAAAAGAATGACAAGATTGATTCCTCAATGCGAATGGCAGCACATTTGGGTAACACAGATATGGATTATTAGACAACAGTGATTTCTGAAGTGCAGATCTCTGCAAGAGGCTATTTGGCCAGTCTCTCTGCAGCATTTAAAGACTAGCTGCAGGCGGGGATGGATGAAAGCAGGCATGAGTCAGAATGAGGCTGAATCAATGGGGCTTGCAACACAGAGGCATTTGCCCAGGCATAACATTTTGATATATGGAGGAATAAGAGGAACTATTCCACTAGGCAACTGAGCTGCAAAATATGTGTGTGTGTGTGTGTGTGTACGTGCAATTCATACAGGGGCCAAGCAGATGGGCTTGCAGAAAAGAAGGGAAGGACGGGTCCACGCTTTCTGCAAAGCAAACCAGAAGGCTTCTGGGAAATAACTGGCCACCAGGATCCCAAAGAAGAAGGGGGGGGCCCGGGAATTGGGGTTGAGTATTAGAGGGGGAAAAAAGCAGGAATCTCTCTGAGTTAAGGCGGGGTCTCCTCCATCCTCTCCCCCCCCCCCCCAATCACACCTCTTGACGCGGATGATCTGGTCGCGCATGGGGCGGATGTCCTGGAAGCTCTGCTGGTTGACCAGGCTGTAGACCAGGATGAAGCCCTGCCCATTCTTGATGTACAGATCCCGCATGGAGGCGAACTGCTCGGTGCCGGCTGTATCGAGGATCTCCAGCACCGACGGGGAGGCGTCCACCTCGATCTCCTTGCGGTAGAAGTCTTCGATGGTGGGGTCGTACTTCTCGATGAACGTGCCGGTCACGAACTGCACGGTGAGCGCCGATTTCCCCACCCCGCCCGAGCCCAGCACCACCACCTTGTACTCCCGCATCCTCTTCCCACGCCAGACTCGGTCGGCCGCCGCTCATCCGCCGCCTCGGGCGTCACCCGGCTGCGGCCGCCGCCGCCCCCGTCGCCACAGTCTCCGCCGCCGCCGCCGCCGCCGCCATCGCTTAAAGCAGGAGGGAAAAGGCGCGGAAGGGAACCCAAGGAGGGAGCGCGTCAACCGCCGCTGGCCGAAGGCGATGCTCGCCGCCTTCAGGAACCACAACGAGCGCGGCGGCGGCGGCGGCTGTGCCGCTGGCGCTCTCGGGAGGCAGAACTTCCCGCCCCCACATTGCTCGTAACCGAGGGAACGACCAACCGGAGAGAAGCTGGGCGTTCCGTCACGTGGTCGGAACGCATTCGTCTTGACCAATCGCCGCTGCCGGAGAAATTGAGCGACGTACGCTCACCCTTCCTTCCTTCCTTTCTTCTCTCTCTCTCTCGCTTTCTCCTCATCCTCTCCGCCCTTCTGCCCCGTGACAGAGCCGCTCTTTCTCCCTGTAGCCTAGGAAACAGCGGCCCGCCTTTTCTCCTCCGCATGCCAGGGCGAGTTTCAAGGCACGTCGCTTCGAAGGCCCTTCTATCGAGAAAGGGCATTCCCCTCGCAGGCATAGCTGAAGGGAGCCAATCAGTCGGCGAGAGACGCTGCCGGACGCGCGGGGGCGGGACGGCACGATAAAAGAGTCTTTGGGATTCGCTCCCTTTCTCCTGGTTATTAAAATGTCACGCTCGGGAATGGGAGAGACCGGTGTTCCGACTCACTGGGGGAAACAGAAAGCTTTCTTCAGAGGGGGGCCGCCTTGCCCCAATGTTATTGGTTTAATAATTAAGGTTTAAGAAGAGACTGGACAATTATTTGTCTGAAATGGTATAGGGCAGGGGTAGGCAACCTTGGCTCTTTTATGACTCGTGGACTTCAACTCCCAGAATTCCTGGGCCAGCTGTGCTGGCTCAGGAATTCTGGGAGTTGAAGTCCACGAGTCATAAAAGAGCCAAGGTTGCCTACCTCTGGTATAGGGTTTCCTGCCCGAGCAGGGGGTTGGACTAGAAGTCCTCCAAGGTCCCTTTCAACTCTGCTATTCTGTTCTATTCTAACATTATTACGAAGGTAATGCACCTCCCAGGCCCTTGTCTGGAGCTGGTTTGCAGTAATGAGGGTTGTAGTCAAACCTCTGCGAAATAAAAGCTTTTTAAGAATTAAGGAAACAGAATTTCATTTTTAATGTGGGTCAATATGCTCACAGTAAAAAATGACGACAAAGTTTATCTTATCTTAAGAAGCTCTGGCAATGTGTTGCCGATTTTGAAGAGCAGCATACGGTCAAGGTAATTTGGAGCTGATTTTGGAAAAGTAGGCAAGAGCGACTTTTTATTTATTAATCAAATTTACATGGCTGCCCATCTCGCTGGAAAGTACAGGTAGTCCTCGACTTACAATATCAGTATAATTGCTTGTATCTTGTGTGGTCCCAATAATAGAATTTAATTGATATCCATCAGTACCTCAATAAGCAGTAATTTAGAATCATGACAAAGAATTAAGCTTAGATATTCATCTTGTAATACAAAATTTTTAGAACATCTGTTCTGGATAGATATAATCAGAAATTTGGAACAAAATCATATATGTTCAGGAAATAGAACTTAGTTTTAGAAAATTGTTAAAACTCAATTCACATTGTGGCATATAAGTGAAAAAGAAAACACATGGAAAGGCCAATTGCCTATTTGTGTTGGGATAAAAATCTTTTTTTATTATCAATAAATAATATTTTATTCAATGTAACTGCCAATTGAACTGGTTTTCTCCTCTATATACTGAAATATATAGTAGGTAAAGAATAGTGATCCTTTTCCTTACAAATCTACCATTACAATGTATTATCAATTTACAGTTTTGTCAGTGTGCAGATTTTTGGCCTGTTTATTTAATTTTTCAGCTTCAGTTTTCAGATCACGATACTTTCTGATCTTCTCTAGTACTTTGATTCTATTCTACTACACCCTGGTATTGCTACATCAGTTACCCTCACTTCCTTCTTTTCAGATACAGATTAATTTGGTGTGTTATGTGACAAAATTTTTATAGGTTTATATTTGGAAATCCCACAATGTTTTAATGTGCTAATTTCTGATTTTTTTTCAACTCTATGTTTTCATAAATGTTTTAGTACTGGCCAATAATCATTTTTACAGATGTTCCAGGGTATCATTTTGGCAGCTGTTATGTTGTTGTTTATAAACAGTTTGTGCAATCTCAACATTGCAAAATGTTGAGTATATGATCTACTGGTTCTTCTGCTTCTTTGCACAATCTGCACTTTGAATCATTTGATGATTTTTAAAAAAAAATCTGGCTTTGACTGCAATTGTTTGAGTAGCAGCTCTTGTGCTGTCAAAATGAAGCCTTTGGCTTTTTCTTTTAATGTTCCAATTATAAGCTTTTGTTGTTTGCTGTATACTAAAGCCATGTCTTTGCATTCACACTACTTATAAAACCATAACGTTTAACTTGGTATTAAGGTAGTTTTACCTACTCTTGATATTAAATTATTGATGATGTGGTGAGATGGGCAGCAAATACATTTAATAAATAAACAAATAAACTTGATTTTATCACTGCTAGAACATAGAAAATGTCAGACCTTACCCAACTAGGTCCCTAGGGAAAGACCCTCGACTCCACTTGGTTGAAGTGATCGGTTCTTTTGCTAAGGATAGGGGTTGGTCGTTTTCATTCCGACCTAGACTCATAAGGGCGTGTTTCCAATGTCAAATGGAGAAAAGGATCGGGAGGGGGGAACTAGTCTAGTTTTCGAAGGTTACCGTAGGGTCACCTTACAAAAACCTTGACAAACTACAGTCCGTATAGAGCTTCACTAAAGTGTAAAAAAGGAGTCCGGTCCGTAGGAACCCGTCGACCTAGGTTCCAGTTTGACACTTCTGGTTCCTTTCAGTGTATTTCCCTTCCCCCCCCTTTACATCTTTCTTTCCTTTTGTTCACACTTCCCCAAATTCCTTTTTCCCCTCCCTCTGTTTATGGCAGGATGCCAGCAAAGCAGTGAAAGGGCTGAAGATGGCAGAGCTGAAAGAAGACGTTTTGATCAGCAGAGGGCTGATTTAAGTGCTTTTTTAATGGTTAGAATCAAAATATGAACCCTGCTATTACAACAAAAATATGCTAAAATTAACACAGCAAATTGATTTAAATTTTCTACAAAGCTTGTGTGGGAAGTCAGCCCCCCAGAGAAGGAAATATTAAAAGGGCAGAAAAATATATTTCCTCAAAAGGATTTGATTTTAAAAGCAGAAACCAAGTCTCTGTCCCAAGCAGAAGCCAGCTCTGTACAAATGCAGATGTAAACCATCAGAAAGGCCCCAGCTAGGAGAAGACAAAGACACCTAAAATCTGACACTCAAACTCTAAGAGTCATTAGCTCCAGCACCAGGGAAGCAGGATATAACCCTTGGGACATAACAGGATTAACCCACCACCATCAAGAATACCAGAAAGGCACATCCAGACTCAGAATACGTGACACAGGAAATACAAAGCCTGAAACAGGAACAGGAAACTACTTCAAACAAAAGGCTTGAGAGGGTATAAAAACCTACTACCCACATGTGGTCATTCCTTTTTCCAGCCCTCTTTCCTGCCAGAACCATCTTGCTGTCTGGCTCTTCAATAAACTGCAACCTCCTTTCTAAAGCAGTCGCCATGTTGTTTATTTATCCCTGGCTTGGATGAACCAGGATGAAGACTTTTCCTTCAACATTTGCTATATTCTTCAGATAAGATAGTACTAGATTGTTGGAGGCTATAATTCACATCTTTTACATTCTTTATTTTGGAAAAGTCACGTGTAGGTTTCCAGCTTGATAACAACATAATTTAAAACATGGATTGGAAAAAAAGTTTACTTTTCTCCAGAAGAGCCTGTGTGGAAATTCTATATTAACAATCTTTGTTAATTTAATCTTGGTTTGATATATCAAATGCTCCTGATGAACTGAGCTTGCATTGTTAAAGTTCAGCACTGCTTTTATTATGATTATCATCCTGCATGATGGAATCATTAAAGATATGCCAAAGAAAGCTAGGGGAGTAGCAGAGAAAATGAATGAATTCTTGGCTTTTATCTTTATTGTAAAAATATAGATCAGATGGTTGCACTTGAAGTAGATTTTTAGAGGATTGGAGGAACTGAGACAAATAGAAGTAATGAGACATGAAAGACATATTAACAAACTAGAAAATAAAATATCTGGATTAAAATAGTGTACATCCAAAAAGTCTTAAAGAAGTTAAATATGAAACTGCTGATTTTCTCATAGGAACATGCAACTTATCTTTAGCATTAACACCTCTGTGAGAATTAGAAAACAACTATTTTCAGCTCAATTTTAAAAGAGATCAAGGAATGATAGAAGAAAAGCTGTAAGTCAGTTAATTTGACATCTCTTCATGGAAAATGGTTGAAAGTGCTATCAAAAAGAAGGTGTAAGACGTCAGAGCCCCCCAGAGAAGGAAATATTAAAAGGGCAGAAAAAATATATTTTTCCTCAAAAGGATTTTTAAAAGCAGAAACCAACCCAGCCCCCAAGTCTCTCTCTTTGCCCCAAGCAGGAGCCAGCCCTATACAAATGCAAATGTAAAACCATCAGAAAGCTGGAGCCAGAAGACAAAGATCTAAAATCAGCATATCCCACCTGAGATGGGACATAATAGGACTAACCCATTACCATCAAGTATACCAGAGAGTCACACCTAAACTCAGGTCAGAATACGTGACACAGGAAATAGCTTCAAAGTTCATGCCACAGGAACAGGAAACTTCCAAACAAAAAGCTAGAGAGGGTATAAAAACCTACTGCCCATGTGCTCAGGTCCTTCTCTCCTCTGGTCTTTCCTGCAAGAACCATCTTTCTGCTTCTTCAATAAACTGTAACCATCTTCCCAAAGCAGTCGCCATGTTGCTTATTTATTCCTGGCTTGGATGAACCAGG